CTCATCCGCCCGTCCCTCGTGTGAATGTGACACACTTCTGGATTCAGTCTGTGCTCCTTTTTTCCTGAACAATGTTGACTGTGGGATGCACCAAAAAAAATATAATTATAAAAAAAAAATATATGAAAACAAATATTATATAATTATATTCTCGAACCTGCCCAATACGACCAACTATTGTTGTCCTTACAGTGTGACACACTTCTTGGCTCTCACTCTTCTCATTTTTTGCCCAAACAGTAAGTTACATCTTTATTGTCCAGATCCTTGCACATTGGTTTGGTGTTTCACCATGTACACACAAACACACACACAAACATACACACACACACGCACAAAAATATGTACACACACGCAGTGTAACAGTCACATGCATAATAAAAACGAACAGTAATAATATAAACAATAATAACTTTAAGCTAGACACATACTCAGTATTCTGACTATAACTCCAATGTTATTTGCTGATGCATGCTCTAAGGTCATATATGAATACTTGTAACAAGATGTAAGTAATATTGCCTGTGTTATTTTTTTAAAATCATCTACATTCGAACCTGCCAAAGACGACCATTCATTATCCAGTATAAAAAAGTAGTCATCTTAGACATAGATCTATATATAATATTATGTATGGCTGTATGGTATGGTCATATGATCCTCTTGTCTTTTCAATTCTTGTGTTTCTTCCTAAAGTCTCAAGCAATTCATGATCGGATCAGAACGGAACTCTGAGAGGTTTAAGTGTTTTTCAGCAGATGAGTCTAAATATAAAGAGGTCTGTTTCATGAAAACGACAAATACAAAAAAATTAAAGTCTTTCGATCATCTTTTTGAGTAGGTGTTTTACGGCACTATCGACTCAATTTTTGTCATTTTGGTCATTTAAGTGCCAACGATCATCTTTTCAAACAAAAGAGCCAAAAAGATCCGACACCAAGCCTACAGTTTAAAAAGTGGCCACCTCTATTCTCACCCGGAGTGAGAATAGTGCAGGCGAGTCTTGTGGCTATTCTCACCCGGTGCGCGTTCAAATTTTGCGTTCACCCTAAACCCATAGAATTCTACACTGTGAGGGAAAATTGTAGAATTCTGTGCCATGAACAAACGTTCCATTACAACTGTAGCCTACTAAAGGCGTACAATTTTGTCTGTGGGCAGTGGAGAGAGAGAGAAAGAGAGAGAGGAGTAGCGCGAGAATTTCCGGGCAAAACAAAATGGCGACCCGCGTAGTTTGGCTCGATTCGAAAAGTTAAATAGTCGTAGCATCTTTGTAGACAACCACTTTTGTGTTTTAACATCATCTTTTAACTTTGTTTTGGTCAATTTGATCGTCCACACTGATAGACAGTATTCAGAAAGAGACAGAGAGAGAAAGAAGAGGGGAGGAGTTGATCTTGCGAGAACTTCCGGGCGGGTGAGCATAGCCACTTTCTTAAAAAGTAACTAGATATCTAGATTACAGTTACACACGAACAACATAACACAGTACATAACATTTATAAGTACTAGATCTAGGCTACAATGATTAAAGAAGAACAGCACTGGTTCTAAAAATACTAGGCCAGCATAAAACAACAAGACTAATATGACGCAGTGTATACAAAGTATTACATGTATTATCATTTTTAGCCCTGTCCGTCAAAATATATTGTAAAGAATAGAAAGTTACTCTCCTTACACCTTTAAAAAGTTCATTATAAATTCCAACAACTACAACAACAGAAGTAGACTGAAGTGGAAACAAAATAATTAAATAGAACGAAAACAAATGGTGAGAAAGAAAGAGATACACTACATAAGAGGTTAACAATATCCAGTCCCTTTATAAAACTTTATAAGCCAAGTCTGGTACAATAATGGCCTTTAAACATAAAAGACTAAACGATAAATGTTTACATTCATCCAGGTCTCTCTGGCATCATTTCCTTGTTGTCTCCGCCATATTTTGTACCAACAGGAAGCACACTTCGGCTTAGCCCAGGTAGAGAAGCACAGTTGACCTACTTTTTCGAACCTGTCGCAGGTGTGCAGTTTGTTGTCACCTGGTAAGGAGAAAATAACCGATATAAGTTATTGGGATACAGGTATTTGTATACTTCGGTAGTTTGTTGAATAAAACTCATGAAAACAGAAAAGATAACAACTTTTTGTAAGAACCCGGTTCTTTTGCTTTGATTTCTATTGATACACAGGGCTATTTTTTCCGATAACGGGGTCTTAGGGCCTATAATTCTCAGTTAGATTATTAAAACTCAGTACTGCACGTCTGTTTGAGGAAGTGATCGCTTCCAGCTTTTACCTTTCCTTCCAAAGCTGTGACAGGAAAATGGCGACACGGCACAACGGAAGATTGTCTTGCCAATAAAAAGTTTTTGGAGAGTCCTGGCAATGGTAGGCTATGTCCGTCCTTATAGTTTTTACTCCATTTTGTTCAAGGAAAAGAATAATATAGATCTATTCACAATTATAAGAAAGGCTCTTCTAGACTAGATAAATAGTAAATAGACTAACCTACCTGTTGGTGACATGTTTGTTGTATGTTTTGCCACTGACTATTCAATTCTTTGACTTAGATCTAGAATCTAGATCTAGATTCTAGATCTAGTAAGTATTGTTGTTGTTGGCCACCCATAGGTCTAATATCGGTGTTATGTGATGATGCCAGACTCAACTAATTAGGCCAATTGTTTTTCTTTCTCAAATCGTTATTTAGTTTTGGGAGAAATAATTAAGGCCATTAATTCACCTTGTATCAGAGATAATTTTAAGACTATGAATGCATGTAATTATTAGAGGTCTAGATATAGAAATCTAGATTTTTTTTTCCTTTTTGTTTTTTGGACCACTTTTTGTGACTTACCCCTTCTATTATATTAGTCTCAGATAAAGAAATACATACTTTCTTCAAATTTCAAGCCCGTCTTTCTTATATTTAACTCTTTGAACCCATCGGACGCTGGGAGTGTCCAGTACTAGATTCTAGTGACAACTGTTCTGTTTTATATCATTCTAGTTCTTGTTGTTTTTCGGAACTGTCTCGAAACCAAGTAGTGACTAAGCCTTTGTTTCCACTATTTGGAGGCAAGCTTTTTTGGGGCTATAATGAGACATATATATATAGATAGTGCACTAGGTTTAGGTGACTGTAGAAAATAAACTCCGGGAAACAGTAGAAAAAACTCAAGGCTTTTAGAGTTATGTAAGTATTTTTCTTCGTCCCCCTCAACACAATATAAATTTTAATCATTTTGAAGACGGGCTTCCAACCCTGCCTGTCGCTGTCAAGGCCAATGGGATGAGAGGGATACATAAAACGTAATGATCCATCAGTCCATCTTCCTTCTTCGTTCAGATATCTCTCTGCTGATACTCAACAGTTTTATTAGTAGTCAAAAGTAGAGAATTTGTAGTGGTAGTAGGCCTATTGTGTGCCATGGTTTTTATTACTGATCAGTTTCTTTCTTCCTCTCTTTTCTTTCAAAAAGATACACAGTGTAGCCTGTTAAACTGTTATTATTTCTTTTTTTCTCATCCGTTACATTATATTCGAAATAAGGTAGTGTCATAGTTATAGTACATGATATTATTTTGAAAACTTTTTGTCTTGTTTTGTTGTTTTTTATTTGCAAAAACTATAATGACTGAGAGTCTAGCCGTACTTAAGTACGGCTAGACTGCCAGTCTAGCCGTACTTAGATCTAGGTTTGGTCCTATCGACTAAAGCCTGTTAAGTGCACAGGTCTCATTAGATCTAGATCTAGTAATTATTCAGGTTCAAATACATGCAAGTCAGTAAGGCACCTTTTTGTTTTGTCTGAAATACAAATACTTTAGACATTGCAAACTAAAAATTTCATTTACAATTCAGCCATCAATATTAAGTACGGCTAGCCTGACAGTCTAGCCGTCCTTAAGTACGGGTAGACAGCCAGTCTAGCCGTACTTATCTTAGGCCCTATTAACATTAGAAAACAGGAGTTTTAAAATACATGCACTGTCATTAAGGCACCTGGTTTCGTCTCAAATACAAATACTTTAGGTACTGCACACTAAAAATGTATATTTACAATTCAGTAGGCCTATTTTTTGTTAAATGGTCAGTCTAGCTATCATATTAAGAATAAGTACGGCTAGACTCGCAGTCTAGCCGTCATTAAGTACGGCTAGCCTCTTCCTTTCCTTTTTAATACATTCTTAACATTTAGACCCTTTTCTTCACCGCTCTTCATAGTTTTGACACTTTTGTGATACATTAATGTTATCTTCAGCCACATGGATGAATGAACGAGGGTGAAATAATATAACAACAACGATACGACCAGACAATGGCGTCGTTTCACCAGATTGGGTGTGTGCTGGTGGTGGTGACTGCGGCCATGACAGGAGCAGCCTGGGGTCAGAATCCGATTTTCTCTGGTCCGAACAACGATCCTATCAACCAGCAAGGCAGTGGAAACCTGTGTAAGTATCTCAAGTATAATTTGCTATAACTAAAATAGCTGTTAGCGCTCTTGTAATCATGAAATTGCGAGTTCGGGGTTTAAATTCAAGCCTCAGGCCCGATGTTGTGCCCTTGGGGAAGGCTTTATACTCTAATTTTTCTCATTTCACCCAGATGTGAATAGTTACTTGGCCATAGATGGCGAAACATCTAGTCAGTATGTTACTGTTTCAGCACCTATAAAAGGCAGCTTGCTCTGTATGCTTCCCAGAAAGTTGAGATTGTTTCAGAATGCTATTGAGTCTGCTGGGGTAATAGTATAGATTGTAAAGAGCTATACAGAACAAATGCTATATTATTATTAGGCTATTTACTCTGTTGTTAATTGAGTTCTTCTTTTCTACCCTTAACGCTGCAGTGTGCTTTAGTGTGTGACTTTACCATGTTTTAGATTAAGATGGTGGAGGTTGGCGGGTGCTCTGGTGTGGCTTGCTTCTTCTTTCCTATCAAGCATCTGTCATTTTTATCTCCCCTCCTTCTTTTTTGTGTTTGATACTCTCTTGTAACACCTCTAATCTTCTGTACTTATATGACTTTATTGTGTTGCAAGTGCTGCAAAACACTTTCTAAAACATAAAACAAAGATTAAGATGCTTTGTAATGTAGTTGTAGGCCCTGTAAACATGTCTTCACTGTTGAGAAAGAAAGCAGATGTACATATTATCTGTCCCCAAGGTTTTATGCAGCCTGCTTAATTTCGCAAAATTTGATCATTTTTTTCATAATTTCTGATTATTTTCTTTTATAATTTTTTGTTAAAATTAACAGAATTGCATAATTTCACGTTTTTTGGGCTCAGTTTGCATAATTTCAGAACTTTTCTTGCATGCATAAAATAACGGGGACAGGACATAACCAAACAAAATTCACTTGCATATGCTGGACAATCACTAAAGACAGTGAAAATAAAATAGAGGCAACAGAAATGTGGTTTCTTAGGAGACTGCTAAGAGTATCGTGGAAGGAAAAGAAATCAAATGAAGTAGTGCTTGATGAAGCCCACGTGGGACGCTCAATGTTAAAAACAATCAGGAAAGGACAAATGCAGTTTTTGGGACACCTGAATAGACATAAGGGTCTTGAACATCTAGCTCTCACTGGCAAAATTGAGGGCAAGCGAGGCAGGGGTAGGCCCAGAACAACATACTTAGGGAACCTAAACAAATGGGTAACAGGGAAAAATCAGGGAAACGTAGCTTTTCTGAGAGCATCCGAGCAAAGGAATGAATGGAAAATCATGATCGCCGATGTCTGTCGCAGATCTGGCACTGGATGATGATGATGATGTGGTGTAGCGGTCAGGAGCTTCGTTGTCGCTTGCAAGAGACCTGAGATTGATTTCCAAGTGCAGTGAAAATGTTTTATTGAGTATCTCGGTCTTTCTGCTGGGATGTTTTATTCTCAGCTGGGTTGTCTTCCATAGGCAAGGTCGGAAGCCCGCCTCCTAAATGATCAAAATTGTGTCAATGGAGGCCTTGATTGTTCTAATTTTGCCAGTGTAACATTATGGACTTTAGTTAGTGTTAAACAACAATGGTACCTAAAAAAAAAATCATATTTGACTAAAGAAAGGTGAGAGACAAAACTTATTTGTCAGAAAATAGTTGTGTAAAAATCTTTGCAGTTTGGGCAAGGAGGATGGGGATTGGTCTTAGGGAGAGAAAAAAGAAGCAGAACAAGCAATCTTATTAGTGCCACCTTTCCTGATTATTTACCATTGGGCATGAAAAGAATTTTTGTTCGGTACCTGGCTGTTTCTGAGTGTTGTTGTATATCAGCTCAAAAGTCCAAGTTTGCTTTCTGATCTTTGCTGTACTGCATTTCTTTTTGCCTTTTTTCTGCTTATAAAGAATGCCTAGTATGTTTCCAAAAGGACTTAATTTAATGAGATATCATGTGGCTTTACAAATGCGCTGTACCTTCCACACTGTCTCTTGTTTTGTTCCTTTGTCTTTTTTAAAAAATATTTTTAAAAAAATTGTTTTGCATTCTTTAGGAGTGTTGAAAGTAATAATGATGGTGTATAAGCTCAACAATTTTGAAAATAAAGTCATCTTCATCATCAAGTATCAGATCTACAACAGACATCGATCAATGATAATAATAATAGATAGCATTTGTATTGCGCTTATCCCCGCTCAACAGCAAGCTCTATGTGCTTCAGAATCTATTTTATTACCCCAGCAGACCTGAGAGCATTCTGAAACAAACTCAACTGCCTGGGAAGCATACAGTACATGCAGCCATTTATAGGTGCTAAAACACTAATATACTGACAAGATCTTTTGCTGTCTATGGCTGGGTACCCATTCCCACCTGGGTGAAGTGGGGAAAATTTGTGTAAAGTGCCTTTCCCTAGGACACATCGTCGGGCCCGCGGCTCGAACCCCTGAAGAGTCACACGAAGTCACACAAGTGTAATTGATTTTTATTCTCTGCTTTTTTCCATTTTGTTTTGACAGCAGTCATAAAACAACTATGTCTGCACTCAGTAGTTGTTTTAAAAAAAAATTCACACAAGTGTAGTGATGGTTGGCGGGTGCTCTGGTGTGGTTTGCTCCTTCTTTCCTATCAAACATCTATTGTCCTTATCTCGCTCTCCTCCTTCTTTTTTGTGTTTGTTACTCTCTTGTAACGCCTCTAATCTTCAGCACCTATATGACCTTTTTGTATTGCAAGTGCTGTAAACTCGTACGAAAACTATGACACAAGTATTAATTGATATTTATTCTCTGCTATTTTCCAGTTTATTTTGACAGCAACAGCGACTGCAATACGGGAATCAGGAACATCAACAACTTCAAGGCCACGATAGAAGGTCATGGAGGCGCGTCCCAGAGTCTTGGACCTTCCAGCTGCACCATCAAGTTGAAGTCAGAAGGCCAATTTGAAGGCACCATTTTGAACATTGAAGTGCGTTCAATGGACATTCGTGATTGTACAACGCGCGTCGCTATATACGATGGGGATGGGGCTCAGCTGTTGTTGGTAAGTAGTCTTTTTAGGAAAGCGTGTGTGTGTGTTTATGTGTGTGTGTGTGGTGTGTGTGTGCGTGTGTGTGTGTGTGTGTGTGTGTGTGTGTGTGTGTGTGTGTGCATACTAATATAATGCACGTGTGTGTGTGTGTGTGTGTGCATACTAATATAATGCATGTGTGTGTGCTTGTGTGCTTTCGTGTGTGCTTGCATGTGTATTTAGCTTCTTTTCATTTGAAGTAGTAATCATTACAACATCTCTCAAAGACAAGAGCACAAAATCTTCAGACCCAGTGACGCTGATGCTTGCATCACATCAAACAATCGACAGCTATTCAGATGACTGGATACACGTCTATACGGACGGCTCAGCATTCAAAGGTACAACCAAAGCCGGATATGGAATACTAATACAGTACCCAGATGGAAGTTCCAATGAGATCTCTGCAGCCTGTGGAGAGAAATGCAGCAACAAAGACGCAGAAATGATGGCAATTGAAACAGCACTGTATTGTGATTTTCACTGACTCACTTTCATTATTACAAGCCATAGAAAATGACCATCATCTAAACCATAATTTGACCCATATACTGTTTGGATCCCATCATCTGATAATATCCTGTGGCATCAATCTAGTAATGCAGAGGGTCCCCGGACACTCAGACATAACTGGAAATGACAGAGCAGACACACTTGCCAAATGGGGATCTAGACAGGAACAACCCAACACTCCAACTTCATACAACACTGCAAAACAAATCTTCAAAAGCAATAACAAACAAGATTGGATGAACGGATGGGCCCTTGGAAAGACAGGCAGAGCAGTTTTCACACATATGACCACAACAAAAAGGAATGACAATATCAACCGACTTCAGAGAAAGAAACAGACCACGATCTTCCGCCTACGAACAGAACATATACAGCTCAACTTCCACCTGAACAGAATAAACCCGAAACTTCCCCCAATGTGTCCCTTGTGTGACTATGCATATGAGACTCTGGAGCATCACCTGTTCCACTGCACAGCCCTAAATGATATCAGAGCTGCCTTTCTCCCTCCGAGACCTAACATTGACAACACACTCTATGGAACATTACAGCAACTGCAGCAAACCTGCACTTATCACTACATGGCATTGGACACAAGGGCGAGAGCCCAGCTGTTGCTGGATCGATAACAACAACAACAACAACATTTGATGTAGTTTATAATAGGCCTACTGAGCAGGTTATTTTAAAGATCATTCTATGTTCCCTCTTCAAATGTAGCTCTCATTGGAAGCACTGAGGGAAAAGGAGGTAGAGGTAGCTTACTTGGAACCTACTGGGGAAAACATTAACAGATGGGTGACAGGGAAAGACATGGTTATAATATAAGATTTTTGAGTGTTTTAGATGCAGTAAAGAAGTAAATGACGAACCATGATTATTTGTTTGAGGTTCTTTTTTTGTTTTTTAAAAATGTTTTATGGCGCTCGCAACTGCGTAAGGTCATATGAGTGCGCGGGATACACTAAACATTTCCAGTTGGTAAGAAATTTTGAATTTTGCTCGGGTGGCGGCCGAAGCCTACTCTTAACGATTTTGGACCACCAAGGGATCTTTAATGTGCACAACTTGCACACGGGACCTCCAAGATTTTTCTCCCTTGTCTTAAAAGGCTAGTGTCGCAAAACTCTCAGTAAAACTAATACTGTTATTTTTAACTTTCTTTTTCTTCGACTCATTCAAATTTTTCTTGTATCTCCAACGTTCAGCAATCGTACGACTGCCGCGACAAAGTGGGTTTGAATCGAAGAACCATGCAGACCACGGGCAACACAGCGACCTTCATCATGAATAGAGATAACATTGAGCAGTGGAACTTTGATGTGGAAATCATTGTCGATCCTATCAGAGGTATGTACCTAAGTTTTATTTCATGATGATAATGATAGTTTGTGAAATTTTTTGTCTGTTTTTTTTGGGGGGGGGGGGGGGGGGGGAATTCCCCCTCTCTCCCACTCTCTCCCACTCAGAGCTGGTTGTAACGGAGTACGTTACAATTTTCGGTACTTTTACTGTACTCCAGTATATTTTGAGAACCAGTACTTTTACTGTACTCTGATACTTGTTATAAAAGTATTTTCGAGTATTTTTAAAGTACATTTTGAGTACTTTTGAAGCTTAATAAAAGGGTAAGTGCCGGCATTTCTGATCATAATTTACGGAAAAAACACCCGGGCGGGCACAGCCGATCAACCAAGAGTTAAAGCTTGAGATCAAAGAACTGCTCGTCGTGTCAAAGACCAGCCACTCTCGTGAATGTGATCACACGAGCATTGTAAAACTCCATGAAACAGAACAATGTTTACCCCAGATGGGATCACACCGAGGTGTGAACTGAGCGATGCGTTTCTTTTCCCCAACCATTGCACTCGCATCTGAGCTCGCCACCTAAACTTACATCACTCGCTGGGTGGGTATAGGCCCTACAAGTTCGCTCCAGGCAGGTTCACATCGAACTGTGAACTCTTCCCTGACCCTTGAAAGCAGTTTTTCTTTATTCCCGAATTTGCGAGACTGCCTGAATTTTAATTGGTGTGGTCACAATGTAATGGTGCGTAACGACAAAGGCGGGGTGACTCAATCAGAGATGGAAGGCTACAATATTTGGACAGGTAAAGGGGAGGGGCAACTGGATAAACGTAGATAAAGATCTCAAGACTCACGATAGGTTAATGAGTGTATATGGCATGCCTCATGCCACTGTGATTGGTCATCAAGGTTGATCTCTCTTTGTGCTCGCCAAATGTCATAAACCCACCCAGGGGTCACGACAGTTCATAGGTCACTGTAGATTCTTCCTTGGCTTCGTCGGCTAAGATCCCGTATTTCCCTTGCTCCCGAGCACTGGGATCTAAGGCGGAGACTACAGTAGTAGAGAATCTTTGGTTACACTACACCTACTGGACTCTAGGAAATTACATGTACATGTATTTTGGTTTGCCATGGGTGCCGTGGACTGCACAGTGTGACCAAAATCTGTCTTACCACTATTATAATCAATTGAAACTGAAACTGAGTTCTCAAAGTATATCTAACAATTTTTTAGGCTACCTAAATTTCTTTTTTAACTTTTTTTTGTGGTTTGTGCTTAAGGCTACCTTGATTCCTTGAGGATTTGTTAATGAAGAATTCAAGGCACTTTTCCATTTCTCTGCTGGCCATTTTCATCAATTCTATGTTTTCTTAAGAGCAACTTTGTCTCTACATTTTCCAATTTGGATACTTTTCCCACTTTCCGACCTCTAGGACTCACTTACATTTGATCTCATTGTCTTGCTCAAACAAGTTCTATTCATAATATCACTTACTCACTAGTTGCATCTGTTTGTTTGGTATTTTCTTTTCAATTTCACGGACCATAATATTTTCCTCCTACGTTCAGTGCGTATATTCAAACGCTTTGAAAACTGTTTACATTTTTAGTAATAAATGGCCTAATTTGTCAAATATACTGGATATGTTATTCAATATGATGTTTTGCTTTAGCACTGAAGTGTTTTAACATATTAGCAGAAAGTACTCAAAATGTACTCATAAGTACTTTTTAAAAAAGTACTTGTACTCAGGTACATTTTACAGGAAAGTACTTTTACTGTACTTAAGTACCTATTTTAGATTGTACTTAAATTTGTACTGAAGTACCTTTTTAAAAGTACTTTGACAGCTCTGCTCCAACTTTCTATGTCCCCAAATATTAATGACCCGTGTTTTTTATTCCCAGGTGGTCTTGAGCCAGGCTTTGAAAACAACTACGGCACCGACTTCTATTTTGACAAATTCGAACAAGCGATCATCGTTGGGCTGATCGGCGGCTTTTACCTCCTCATACTTCTCATCTGTGTCATTGTGATGGTGTGCTCCTTCCGCTCTTTCTACGGCAAAAACAAGGAATGGGAGACGCATCAGCTGGCGGTCATGAAGACAGGTATGGCCATGGGTTTTTTTGGTTTTTTTGTGTGGTTTTTTTGGTAAGTGTTTTACGGTACTCGCAACTGCATGAGGTCATATGAGCGCGCGGGACACATTAAACATTTTCAGTGGGTAGGAAATTTTGAATTTTGCCCGCCTGGTAGCCAAAGCATGCACTTATCGTTTTTAGAACATCAAGGGGTTTTTAACGTTCACAAACTTGCACACGGGACCTCCAAGATTTTTGGCTCTTGTTCGAGAAGGCTAGGTGTAGATCTTTCCTACCTGAAATTCGAGGGTGTGGCTGAAATACAGGAGAAAGAAGGAGCCATGGAGTAGCTGTAGAAAGGCTGCAGAGAGAGTCAGGAGCCCAGTGGAGGGGGCAAAGGAGATGAGGGGATGGGGGCAGAAAGTGGAGACGAAAGCAGACGACAGAACATTGTTAGAGAGCAGGAAAGGAGGTGAAAGAAGACAATTTTAGTGAAGGAAATTTTTCTGTGGCTACCTGGATTCGAACCCGAGACATTTGAATGAGAGGCGAACACCTTAACCACTAGGCCACGAGAGCCCCCATGGACATGTTTTAATGGACTATGTTATTTCTGGCTCTTTTTATTTCATGGGTCTGGTATGTCAGTTCTGCTTGTATTATTTCATTACTGTCCATGTTTTTATTATGCAACAAGATCACACAAAGATTGCTCTATGTTAGGAAATACATGTGTTACTTACCTCTGTCTTTGAGGCATATATTCCACTTTTGCAAAGAGGACGGGATGCTTTGTATTTCAGCTGTGTGAAAGACAAAATTGGAACTACTTTCTATTTTGTTTTAGTTTTAGTTGAGGTTTTACGGCGCTCGCAAATGCATAAGGTCATATGGGCGCCTGAAGATTAGAGGTGTTACAAGGGAGTAACAAACATAAAAAAGAAGAATGGAAGATAAGGACGATAGATGTTTGATAGGAAAGAAGACGCAAACCACACCAGAGCACCCGCCAACCACCCACTTCTATATTTTGTTTCTTTTCTTCCATCTGATGGTGAGGGTCATTTGCTGTTCTCATTCATTTGTCTCATCCATGAGACTGGTTGTAACAGCCCAATTGACGCTCAAAAAAAGGATTCATTTTGTCTCTTTTTAGGGAACGCATTGTTGTTCAATTTTTCTTGCATACCCCCAATCTTACTGAATTATTTATGGCTAAAATGCTCTCAGAGCTTGAATTAACTAAATTTTAGTATTGTGTGCTCTCTTTGGTCCAGAAGTCAATAATATATGCTTTGTTCTTTGTAATGGTGTTTGGGTGTAGTTGTAGTTTTCAAGGAAAGTATTTTGGGGATTTGTCAACAGGAACATTTTCTTAAAAGTTGTGAGCATGCTGAGATCTGATTTAAGTTTATCAACCTATTTTGTGAAGACGTGGTTGTTGGGGTTGTCAAATAGTCGTAGGGTTGTGGGTTGAGAATTGATGTTGTAACGTGCATGTGGGTTTTGTATTGAGTTTCTCGTGTGGAAAACCCCTCCCCCGCAAATTGTTAAAACTGTGGGTGGTGGGCGGGTGCTCTGGTGTGGTTTGCTCCTTCTTTCCTTCTTTCCTATTAAACATCTGTCGTCCTTATTTATCTCCCGTCCTTATTTTTTGTGTATGTTACTCTCTTGTAACACTGCTAATCTTTGGCACTTATAATGACCTTATTGTGTTGCAAGTGCCGTTAAACACTTACTAAAACTATATTATCAAAACTGAGATACTTGGGCAGATCACCACAACCTCATTGACCCGATGACTCTGATAATGTTGTCTGTGGTGGAGTGGTTAGGTTCCTTGCTGTCATATATATATGACAGCAAGGAACCTAACCACTCCATATATATATATATAAATGCCATATTATATATGCAAACTTCGTCAGTTTCACTAGCAAATCAAACCCAGCCAGTTTCAATAGCAAATTAAACATCGTCAGTTTCACTGGCAAATTAAACATTGCCTGTTTCACGAGGAAATTATACATTGTCAGTTTCACTAGCAACTTGTACATCATCCGTTTCACTAGCAAATTAAACTTGGTCAGTTTCACCAACAAAGAGCAAAGAACAGATATTTAATTTTGTTCCTGTATCAAATGCAGAGTTCAAAGTTCACAGATGTTTACTCCGCATGCTTTTCTCCGTCCTCTCCTTATTTTTTGGAGTACCTTCTTATTTCCCTCCTCTCTCCTCCACAGATATTATTATCCTCAATGCATGAATAATTCCTGATCCTTTCTTCTGACAGTGTAACTGCTCAGTGAGATGTTATGCAAAATATGAAACATGCTTAGCTTTTGTAGGGTGTTTATCTACTTTTGTATGGTGCACTTTGATTTGCTTTGCTTTTCAGATTTGTCATGTGTCCTTGAGAAATATAGTGTGGGAAAGATGCTAAGATATATTTCAAGAAAAAGATATATTTCAAGAAAAATCTAACCTTTTCATTTCTTGGTCTTTTTTAATTTTTATATATGAAGTCTTTATATTTATGGCTGTACACACTTAAATATAAGTTGGTGGTTGGCGGGTGCTCTGGTTTGGTTTGCTCCTTCTTTCCTGTCAAACATCTGTTGTCCTTATCTCTCCTCCTTCTTTTTTGTGTTTGTTACTCTCTTGTAACACATTACATTATTCTTTGGCACTTATATGACCTTATTGTGTTGCAAGTACCGTACAACTCTTACTAAAACTGAAAGACTTAACTATTCATAAATGGATGGACTGATATTGTAGAAAGATAAGATGAACTACAGGGTTCTTTTGAATTTTACTTACCTCCATGTAGATCATTATAAAGACAAAGAGTAATCTGATCTCTTGTTCGGACAGAAATGCTTTGACCTCTCTCATTTTAGAAAAATATTTCCTTGAAAAATGTCCTCTTGTGCACTTCACATTTTATGTCAAAAACTGACTGGTAGGTAGACAGATATCTTTTCCATGCTCCTGGTGATATCATAATATCTGTGGAGATTTTTCAAGGCTGAGGAATGTACGTGATCTTGGATCTTACAGTGAGACATTGTTCATCATTTTTGTCAAGACCAGGTGGAATCGGGGGCATATTAATTTTTTTAAGCATGTGGACTCATTGATATCACCTTAAAGCTTGTTTATTTATTTTGCTTTTGATAAAGAAAAGTTGTTAATCTATTTTGAATAGAAGTCGAGGTATTTGCGATTGAAGTAGGTGGGGGTCACCTTGTGTCAGAGGTAAAATTAGCGAGAAAATGACCGTTAAGGGTTTGTTGACTTCCAAAGCTTGAGTGTTCTTGGAAACGGCAAATATATATTTTTTGTGCCTTTGATCAACGGTTTGTAGAATAACATAAAAGGTAAAAAAAAACCCCAAAACCAAAAAACAATAAATTAAATTGACCTGTGGGTGTTTGAAAGTGCTCTTTACAATAGATTGAGTCTGATGTGTGAAAATGTTCTTCACAATAGATTGAGTCTGATGTGTGAAAATGTTCTTCACAATAGATTGAGTCTGATGTGTGAAAATGTTCTTCACAATAGATTGAGTCTGATGTGTGAAAATGTTCTTCACAATAGATTGAGTCTGATGTGTGAAAATGTTCTTCACAATAGATTGAGTCTGATGTGTGAAAATGTTCTTCACAATAGATTGAGTCTGATGTGTGAAAATGTTCTTCACAATAGATTGAGTCTGATGTGTGAAAATGTTCTTCACAATAGATTGAGTCTGATGTGTGAAAATGTTCTTCACAATAGATTGAGTCTGATGTGTGAAAATGTTCTTCACAATAGATTGAGTCTGATGTGTGAAAATGTTCTTCACAATAGATTGAGTCTGATGTGTGAAAATGTTCTTCACAATAGATTGACTCTGATGTGTGAAAATGTTCTTCACAATAGATTGAGTCTGATGTGTGAAAATGTTCTTCACAATAGATTGAGTATGATATTATTCATTCATACATACATACCTAAATACCTAGGTATATTATATAACTTGTGTATTGGAGGAAGATGCAGGGTTTATATGTGAGGCAGCATGGTGGAATCAGGCTCTCGTCAAAATAATGAAATCGAAGAAAACTCCAGTTTTCTCCCTGCTTTGCAATTTTTATCAAATTTTTATTTTTTGGCTCCACACCTTTTATGTCCATTTACAAACACATTCCTTAGAGGATTTCACCGAAAACGTTGATTAAAGACACAAAAATATAAATTTACAGTGTCCACGGATTCTCCAGCTTTCGAATTTACCAAGCTTTGGCGGCCATTTTCTCGCTAATTTTACCTCTTAAATCAGGTGACCCCCACCTCCTTCAATCCAAAATATCTCCACTTCTATTGAAGATGGATGGGTAATTTTTTCATTGAAAGCAAGGCAAATGAACAAGCTTTAAGTTGATACCAACAACTCAATATGCCCAAAAGTTGACGAGAGCCTGATTCCACCACGCTGCCTCACATATTGAGTCTGATGTATGAAAGAGCTCTTCACCACCTACCCAAACAACCACCCCCACCCACCCACCCAACCACCCGCCTCCTTCTGACCAGGTGCGGGCTTCGATGGGCGGAGTCAGATGTCGCAGCCGACAAATGCCTGGTCCACAGACCTGACGCAGAGCCGCGGCCCAGCCAGCCAGTACTCGCGCGGACACACAAAGCCGTACGCGCGCAGCCATGCTCCTGCCAGCGAGGATGGTGATAGTGGTGTGTTCCGATATGGCGAGTGTCTCCACTTTCTTTTTGAATGTGTCTGTAGTTTTTTTTTTCTGCTGTTGTGACTTACACGCTCACTTGTGTTTCGTGTGTGTAACAAACAATAAGAAATATCTTGTCGATAGCTAAAGTGGGTGGCAGGAGTATTTATCTTTGTCGAGATAACAACAAATAACAACTGATAACAACAAATAACAACTTAACCTTCGATTTTCTCAAAACGGCATTTTTGGGGATAGCCCCCTTGTGCTTAAAAGCGGCCAACTGTGCTCATTATCACATTGACAGCCAGTGTGACCGACAATTTTGAGAAGCCACAGGGCATTTTGATTTCTTTTTTTATTCCCTGTGAAATTGAAAACTTTTATTCTCCTTGCTCTAATGAAAGAAAGGATTTAGGTCATAAGTCAGACATGCACCATTTACAGTTTACTAAATGTGTTCTCTTTCTCACAATCTGTGTATTATACGTCTGCTTTGTGATTCTCTACAAGTTCTTATAGTTGATGGTTGGCAGGTGCTCTAGTGTGGTTTACTCCTTCTTTTCTCCAAACAACTATCGTCCTTATCTCTCCTCCTTCTTTTTTGTGTTTGTTACTCTCTTGTAACACCTCTAATCTTCAGCACTTATATGACCTTATTGTGTTGCAAGTGCCGTAAAACTCTTACTAAAACTAAAAGTTCTTGCACCTGTCTTAGCAGCAGTAAAGCACTCTAAATATTAGAACTGTAGTTACAATGGTTACAGGTGTGTTTGGAGCGAGAACTAACACATTGCTAGTCAGGGTCCAAAGTACTAGATTTACATTTGACATAATTTTTGTTTATGTTGCTGAAGATTGTTGTTGTTGGGTCCTTTCTGCTCAGGTGCGTTCCTCCTCCCTGTTTCTGAATCTTTTTCTGGTCCTCTGTACTAGGCTTAATCATAAATGATACGCTAACAGCCTTGATGAAAGTCTTCACTCATCTACTTTGAATTGGGTAGGTTTTTTAAAGCAGTTTCAGGTCTGACTTTGAGTTGGGGTCAGACACACAAATACCTCCTTCAGGGAGATGAGAAGCCGTTCTGTGTCGGATGCGACACAGATTTTACCATTAGACACATCTTAACAGAATGTCTAGACTTTGGAGAGATCCGAAGGAAGTTTTATAAATGCAAGAAATTGCAAGATATTTTTTCCGTCGTTGTTCCCCGCAGAATTTTGAATTTTATAAAGGCCATTGGCCTTTATGGCAAGTTGTAAAATGAAAAATGAAAACGTACTATTTAAAATTTTTATTGTTACCTATAGGAGTTGTTTTAAATCACAAATATATTTACGCTAAATTTTAATATTTTAACATTTTAGCATTCTAAAGTCAAATAGTTAACCAATCGTGCTGTGAACTTTTGCGAAGTAAACAACTTTTGTTTCGCGCGCTCATATGACCTTAGCAGTTGCGAGCGCCGTAAAACCCTATACTACATACATACAGACACTGTAGGCTACCACATTTGTATGAATAATGAGAAATAAGCTCAAGGCCAGGGTGCATGCGTTTTGGATACCATGAAATATAACCTTCACTTTATGCATGCCATGAATCAAAGAACTCAATGGGTGTGTGTGTATGGTTAATTTATGTTTTTCTAGATAGGAATTATGTCTTCTTTTTTTTGGTGCCAGTTGTGCCAATTTGTTGATTGTTCAACTTACAGACCAAAGAAATGATAAAGTATATGCCTTTCCCTGTTTCCTTTCCTTGCTTTTGCTGGCTTACTTCGCTATTTGTCTACAATGTGTGTGCTTTTTATCCTCTTTTAAAAAAAGACAGAAACAGCTTTTTAAAATAATAATTGTGCTTTGATTTGATGACACAACCAGAAAGTAGAAGGGAAAAGATGAAATATCAGGAAGCTGAATGGGATCGAAGTAAGTTTTTTTCACACATATATATATATATATATATATATATATATATATATATATATATATATATATATATATATATATATATATATATATATACAGTTCACTCGTTGGAAAGGAGATTGCTAAGATCTCTTCCCCTAGCTTTGTGATCTATTTAAGACTATTAAAATGTCCTGCAGGGGTTTCTTTCCCGCTACCGTTTAGCTGCTGGCTTTCTCTGCCTTTTATTGTGAACATCTAGATTTTACTTTTTTAGTAAGAGTTTTTTGGCGCTCGCAACTGCATAAGGTCATATGAGCGCGCTCATCTAGATATGGCACAGAGAGGTTTATAGCTGAACTCTTCCACATAATGCGTCTATGTTCTGCCTGTTTGTCACAGCTAGCTCTGATTGGAAGTGTGCTCACATTAGCTTTGAGAGGATTTTGTTTTCTCCCTCTCTCTTTCTCTCTTTCTTTCTTTCTCTTTCTCTGTCTGTCTGTCTGTCTCTCTTTCTCTCTCTCTCTCTCTCTCTCTCTCTCTCTCTCTCTCTCTCTCTCTCTCTTTCTCTCTCTTTCTCTCTCTCTCTCTCTCTCTCTCTCTCTTGCCCTTTTTAACTCCCAGTGGAGCGTAGGCCATCAACAACATTTCTCCAGCGAAGCCTGTCCTGCGCATCCTTTTCTAGCTGTTTCCATGAGCTTGTATTACCCACCAATATGTTCAGAAAAGAATGAAGATTTGATGTATCAGGATACAGTTGTAGTACATGCAGCAGCATATTATTATTTATGATAAATGAGGTGCACAACCCCCCCCCCCAAAAAAAAAAAAAAACCCAAAAGAAGAGTCATCATGCAGGATGTTATTCAATGGACATGCTGACTTAAGTGTTGATGTTTCAATGGATGGAGTAGGCTATGTGTCAACCGCAGAACTTCTTATGGCCAAAATGTCAGCATTTATTCATGATGCAGGCTAGAGGTGTGGTAACGCTCAAATGCAGAGGGCTTTTGTCAGGATGTTATTTAAATGAGCTTAGGATTTTATATCGAAATGTTTCTGGTTTGTAAATTTGATTCATAGCCCCTCTTGAAGCACTGCAGTTTGAGATCACCCCTTAAATGGTCTAAATTGTGTTGATGATCAGAGTGTTTCTCATGTGCCTCAAATATGCTTCGCATTATGGACCTATTTTTGTCTTGAGACTAAGTCAAGCCAGTGTGTATTGAATGACTCTACGTGCTTCTCGCTGAGTTTTCATTGTTGTTTGAATATTTGAGGTCATGCTTTCTTTCTCCCTCCCCATTTTTTACCTGTACTCCATATGATAATGTCTGTAGAAGCACAAAACAATAGCACGAAATATTTATTTTTGGAAGGACTTCCGTAACGAGCAACCACCCTAACCTTTTACCTAACCATAACCCTACCCTTACCCCTTCCCCTACCCCTAGCCCTCTATTCTCGTTATGGAAACCCTCCCTTATTTTTTCCCTTAGTTATCTGCGTATTGTGCTCATTTCTTTCGTAATATTTTAGAAAAATAAATGATATCGTTGCGTTTCCTCTGCTTTCACCTTATTAAGTAGCCATTTCAACTTTTGCTTTTCATCTTTCATAGACCTCGAGGTCAAAGCCAATGCATACCAAGCATCATGTGTGCACCTCTTTATTTAAACAAATTATGTGGACTTCCACTCATGACATTTATTTAGTGTGTCTAAGTTTTCACTGAACAAAAGACAGTTTCTGTAAATGGAAGGGTAGTTTGAACCTTGTACTCCACTTAATATAATAGATAGGAAAAGTTTTCCTCCTTTGTGTAACAATTTTTCTGTCTGAAGGCACGCCTTTGTTCATCATATAGCTATGCCTGATCCATCTGCTTCCATCTATTCTTATTTTTCCGTGAGCTTGCTGTGTAAACATCTGTGATCTTTTATTTTAGCGCCTATAAATGGCTGCTTGCACTGTATGCTTCCCAGGAAGTTGAGGTTGTTTCAGAATGCTTTCAGGTCTGCTGGGGTAATAGTATAGATTGTGAAGTGCATAGAGCTTGCTGTTGAGTGGGGATTTGTGCTATACAAATTCTATCTATTATTTGTAACTTCATTTCTCATTTTTAATGGACAGATTTGAAACACATTATTAGGTCACAATATGAATAGCAGGGAATACAGGAATAAGTCTGTTTTTTATGGGTGGTTGGCGGGTGCTCCTATCAAACATCTATATGGTCCTTATCTCTCCTCCTTTTTTGTGTTTGTTATTCTGTTGCAACACCTCTAATCTTCGGCATTTATATGACCTTATTGTGTTGCAAGTGCTGTAAAACTCTTACTAAATCTAAAACGACTGTAAATCTGTAATTGAAAAGATCATTGTCAGTGAAGGGAAATAACTGACATTGTTTTAAAAAAAAATATTTCTTTCGTCCTCAGATGACACTTTCCAGAGGCGTCGACTCATGAATGAAGAGAGGGACAGGTACAGAAACGGGCCTCCCACTTATGCCTCCAGAAACGATTCCTTCGTGGAGCCAGAGAGCCCGGACCATTTCAAGGAGAAGGTCATCACTCCTCGAGTCCGCCCCACGAACAAGAGACAGGGTCGTCCTCCTTCGTATGAAGAAGCCATCAGCGATCACCCGTCGGACCATTCGTCAGACGAGGAAGAGTCGAATGCAGAGTCGAGTGATGATTCCGTCAGAAAGAAGCCGGTGTCTTCAGAGGAGGAATCGGAGAGATCATCGAGATCGGAGACAGAATCAGAAGAGGAGAGCGAGGAGGAGGAGAGTAGCGATGATGACTCGCGGCGGGGTCGCGGGGCGAGGGCCGGGCGCAGGAAACCACGCAACGACAAACGTCATCACAAGCTAAAGCCAAAGAAAACGTCTTCTCGAGATTCCCGGGATGGAGACGGCCCATCTCGCCGTCACCCCGGCCCGTCTGCACAACCACCTCCCCCGATGCACCCTATGCAGGCCGGTCCCTACCCGGGCTACCCCCCAGGCCAGTTTGTGCCGGTTATGGCCGGCCCACCTCAGTTCCAGACGGTTCCGATGGTCCCCGCCTACCCTGCACCCCGCTACCCCGAGGATGAGCCACGGGCTGCTCCCCGTGGGCCGGATATCCAACCCACAGACCCACCCGTGTACTCGTACCTGGTGCGTCGCGGCTACACGCCCATGGATCAGCACAACAGCTCCGCGGCCAGCATGTCTGGTAGCCAGAGGTCGGGGGCTGACCGCGTCGATGAACCGGACATCAGGCTAGAGAGTGGCGTGGAGTACATGAGGAGATAAGGAAAGAGACACCGCCAACTTCTGATAAATGTCCAGTATTTGTTGACCTGTGGAAGAGTTGTTAGATTCCAAAACCCAGTCCCATTCACCAACTTTTCATGTCTTGCACCAAAAAAAAAATGGCATGGTATACTATGGATTTCGCTTAAATCTATTGCTTAACTTAGAGTAACATCAATAAGAGGTAACTGTAGAACATTAATTTTGCAGCAGTTTTATCTCTTCAATTTCATTATAGTTGATCCTGTTCGAAAATTGTTTGGTGTGAAGCCTGCAGTAGAGCTGTCCTTCTCAGACTTGGCCCCACCACCAGTGTTGTCCTTTAACCCTATCCGTACGTCGTGTTTTACTATCGTATCCATATGACGTGGGGAACTCTGTGCCACCACTTTATTTCCAAAGAGGAAATTTACTCGTTAATCTGATCCGTACGCTTTGCATAGCAGTCTGTCAAAATTATTTTTATGAGAAGCACAGAATGTTTCAAAGAAATCTTCGCACTAGTAGTATTCTAAAATGTGAAGAATACAACCCCGGGCGTACGTAATGACCCCATGGCGTGCGGATAGGGTTAGATAAGAGAGCAAATTGTATACTGTTAAGGGTTGCATATGTGGAATTTGGTTGAAAAAAAGGACCAGTATCAAAACTTGGGGTTTCCTCACTGAAGGGACGACTTGCATCTGCTCATGTCTTTTTGGGAGAAAGAACCAGTAGCCAGTAGTAATATTTGTCTAAAATTCTTATTTGTCATAAGAAAAGGGAATGATGACATGCAGGTTGTGAAGTACAGTAGACTTTGTTTAAAACATGAAAACTCCTGTTATCGCGAACCTTTTTGAATTCTGATTTTTGTTTATTTTTTTTTTCCTGTTTACTCTATGCATTGCAACTTCCCTTATCAAGAAATCTGCTCGACATGGAACAAAAATCTCTGGTTCTGTGAAGCTGGTGAAGAGTTTTACTGTACGCACTACTTTTGTCGCTGAAAGGCGCTGTGCAAAAATATTTGTGTATGCGACTGAAGTTTTTTGAGCAAATCATCAAGTTCTAACACATAAAACCCTGAAGAACTTGAAGACTACGCATATCTTTGTTTTGGGCTGGGGGACTAAAGGAGCTGATTCAAGACTTTGCTACCTTTTAATTACAAAGTGTTATTTGACATTGTCAGCTGTTGCTAAGACCATGAGGTCAGAAACCAAATGCTCTTTCTGCATGCACTATCAAAATCGTAAGATTATTCAGAGTCGTTATCAAGGTATTCAAAGACTTGCATTTGAAAAAGCTTGACAGGTTGTGAAACTCAAAATTTTAAATGTAAAATTTCTCAAAACTAGGCACTGAGCAGATACAACTTTGTGATTCTAGGGTAGCTTCCGTGTTAGTTTCCACTGCGGTGTGGATTGCTGTTGTGTGAGATTGCATGGTGTGGGGCTGTCTGTGCTTGATTGATGAGATCTCTGATGGGTGGTAGGAAGTGTGTTTACTCACCTGACACACAATAATGTCCAGCCAAATGTAAAGTTGATGCATGGATTAAATGCATGCAGTAGAGCTGTGAATATTAGAACGATCACATTTCACATTTACAACTTTTATGAATTTTTGTTACCAGGTGTGCCTGAGAGAAAGGGAGGCAGGGAGAGAGAGAAAGGGAGGCAGGGAGAGAGAGAAAGAGAGAGAGAGAGAGAGAGAGAGAGAGAGAGAGAGAGAGAGAGATCTGTCTTTGTATCTTCAACAACCTCTAGCTGCTAGTGATTGCTTGCAAGTTTTGTATCTGTATTGTTGTTGCTGTTGTTGCAAGAAAAATGAGTGGCACTGATTGAGCCTGATGTAGAGACTGTCAGGATGAGCTAACAATATCTGAGTGCATTATTGTTCTAGCGACAGCGACAATATGTGAGGTGTGCTGACAGAATGAGATACTTCACGGATTGTACTCATTTTTAACTTGAATTATAAAGCAAATTTAGAGGTTGAGTTTTCATAATTTATTAGTTCGAAATGATAAAAAGACATGTTTAACTTAAAGAAAAATGCATCAGTTGAAAATCTACAAATTTGAGACCTGTGCTAATTTTAGCCGACATTTCCATTGATGGATCGCGAGAAGTAACTCATTTTGTCAGCACACCTCACATATAATGGCTCATCAATGTTTTATTCTGTGTGTGGAAAAATGTGTGAGTGGGGAGTTTCTCAAAGTGCAGTGCAACTTCATGTATATTTGTCGTGTGTTAGATAAAATGAAAGCATCAAGTGAACTTGATTCCGGGTTGTTGTTTTTTTTTACTTTTAAAAATGTGGATGAGTAATGAATATCAATGATATTTATGATTTAAAATGTCATTCAGGATACCACAATGTGATGTACCATTTTTTCATAGATGTTAATCACTCTGTTTAAAAGTATTTTCTCAATTGTATTAATACATTCCAACAGCAATTTGTTAACAAAACAGACTCGCCCACACCTGCTCAGTTAAATGTGCAGCAATTTTGTAAATTGTATAGCAATTTTTTAAATCGTATTTACACATTCCAACAGCTATTTCTAACTTTAAACAAAGCAGAATTGACTTATTTCTGCTCAGCTAAATGTACACTATTTTAAAGCTAAAACTTTCTCTCTTTTCTTGTTTTTTGTGGACTCAGAAAACATTAGGTCTTCCTTGCTTCTTTATTTTGAATGTATATATATAAGTACATTTTGTCATCTCTGTAAATATTTTATAAATGTTATTGTTGCTCTGTTTCTTATCATTTACCTGATTATTTTTTGGTTGTGAAAAAAGTGTAAGACTTAATGCAATGATTGTTTTTCATCTCATGAGAATATTTCTCTGTCTCATTGCAACCATGCCTAGAATGTGAAAGTGCCATAGATACGTATACGGCGTTATGAAGTTAGTTTCCTTGTATACGGATTGTAGAAACGATGATGCATAGAAATTAGACAGCAATGTTTACCAACACAAATTTATTAGACAGCACATACTAGCACACAAAAATTTTGAAGTTGATGTATATAGAATTTTTATTTTGGACTCAATCTCAGCAGCTTCTGGGTTTATGTAATGTTACGGGCAAAAAAATATCGTCTGTAAGTAACCTGGATTTTGGTTGTGTTTCTTCAACCCCTTTCGAAAAACAGTGGATTGGAAAGTGCCTGTGTCAGGTCCTATACTTTTTTTTTTCTTTCCACCTTTTCTACCCGTCTTCTTTCCCTGCCGTAAGTGAACGTTACACAAAGAGTTGAAGGAGTCGGCTGAAAAACTGGCAATATCACATTAATCCAACGATGACTCCGACTCCGTCTATTTTTTCACTTTTTATGATGGACTTTTTTCCAACTTAGAACACAACATGCACCCCTCAACCAACATCTCAACCAAATTGGAGTAAAGCAGTCTGCTGCCTGCCCACTATGTGACTACCACTCAGAGACAGTGGAACATCATCTGTTCTTCTGTAGAAAACTAACTGATTTAAGGGGATGTTTTCTTCCCAAGCTACCCCACACATCTAAATGCCTCTACTACTCAAGAAAACAATTAGAACAAACATGCAACTATTACCGAATGGCATCATGCAGAAGAGTTAACGCTCAGATGCTACTGGATCGCTAACAACAACAGCATGATGTACTTTAATGTCGTTGTTGTTGTTATCTATCCAGCAACAGCTGGGCTCTCGCCCTTCTGTCCAATGCCATGTAGTGATAAATGCAGGTTTGCTGCAGTTGCTGTAATGTTCCGTAGAGTGGATGGACTTTTATAAAAGCACAGTTTGTGAATGACTTACCGTAGTTATTTTTCCACTTGATTGGTTTCATAGGAATATTCTACAGGTATTGTTGTAAGATAAGGGCAAATGCCTTGTTTTTTTCTTAAAGTAAATATATCCTGGTTTTCACTTGAGAAACGAGATGTAATTTTTATCTTTCGAGTTGTCTAAAAATGATTTTGGACTGTAAACCTATTTTGATGATCATTCTAGCAAAAAAAAAAAAAAAAGTACAGCCCTCGTCTCAATTCTGCATGATGGGAAATCTGCTGTTTGCGCCGTTTTCCAAAATTCTGATTTTGTCTATCTAAATCTATTTAGTTTGTTGATGTGATACGTGTATATATAAATTGTGTTCGAAACTTTATAATCCTTGAGATCTGCAGGCAAGCCTTTCTTTAAGTTTACTGGCCAAACTGTACTGTAGTAGTAGTATTGTCTTGTTCCTAAATGTTTGGTGCAGACTCTAAGATATCGAATAAAGGGGGGGGGGGTGGACAAGTGATCCAAAATTAATTTTTAAATTAAAGGGGGGGGGGGGGGCGGCACATTCAGCCTCATACCCCTGTACTAGTTGGAACAAATCTGTTTTATTTCTCTTTCAGTGACTAAAAGAACAAGAGATCCTGAACTTTTAGTGATTTTAGTAACTACTGTGACAACTTTTCCTTTTAGTTTTAGGAACCAACCAGGTTGGCTTGCACTCTGACAGCATTGAACCATTACAGACATTTGTTTGTTTGAATACTGGTTGTCATGGAAACAAAACCAGAAGGCTTGCCTTTAGGTCACGACTTTGTGACGAGTGAAGTGCATTATATAACATATCATGCTCATCGTTGTGTGTAGTGCTGTATAATATAGTTGAAGTGTGTAGACCCTTTGTGAACACCTTAACCTCTAGGCCACGAGAGCACCCCCCCCCCCCCCCAGTAAAACTAAAGCACTGAAGATATGATTACATGTGGTCGCTTTTAAGGACAAGCGGGCTAACCCAGATTTTGAGGGTTTCCAGAAATCCTGACTTACTCCAAAAGTGGACATTGCTTTGCCTATTTGAGAAGTTTGGTTTTGTAAGTGTGTGTATTTGTTTGATTATAGAGAAAACTCTCCTTGTCTTTTAAAGAAAATGAACAAAGGGCAAAAAATGTTACCTACGATTTTCTCAAAACAGCATTTTTCGGGATAGCCCCCATGTGCTTAAAAGCGACCATGTGTACTAGCCTGCTTAACCTGTTAGCCTCCCTTGAACTTGAAGCACAGGTTTCTACCTCTACAATGACTGATTGTTAGTGTGTTGTTGTACCTGATGGCAATGGCTGTTGTTACAG